TGCTGCCTTTATGATTCTCTCTGTCTTGAATTTTTGGCATTTTAATTATGATGTGTCTGGGCATGGGCCTCTTTGGGTTCTTTTTGCTTGGGACTCTCTGTGCCTCCTGAACTTGTGTGACTTTTTTCTTGACTAGGTTAGGGAAGTTTTCTGCCATTATTTCTTCAAACAGGTTCTCTCACCCTTGCTTACTTTTGACCTTTCCTGGAACTCCAGTGATGTGAATATTGTTATGTTTCATGTTGTCCCACAGCTCCCTTAGACTGTCCTCTTATTTTTTAATTGATTTTTCTTTTTGGATCTCTGATTGAGTGATTTTTTTCTACCCTCTCTTCTAATTCACTGATCTGATCCTCAGCTTCCCCTAATCTGCTGTTTATTTCTTCCAATGGTTTTTTTAAAATTTCTACTATGTCATTCTTAATTTCCTTCACAGTTTCCATATCTTTTCTCATGCTGTTGAGCATCCTTACAATCAGTATTCTGAACTCTATATCTGATAGATTGCTTATCTCCATTTCATTGAGCTCTTCTTGTGGAGAATTATGCTGTCCTTTCATTTGGGGCTTGTTTTTTTGTCTCCCCATTTTGGCTGCCTATTTGGATTTGTTTCTATGTAATAGGTAGATCCGCTAGGACTCCCAGTCTTTTGGGAGGGTCTCTGGTGTAGGCCAATGTCATATGACTGGTCTTGAGTACCCTGTTTGAAGCTTTCTGCACTTTACAGATTGTGGTTCCCTCTGCTGGGGCTGGATATATTTGGAAAGGACCAAGATGCACACCAAGGTCTGCTTTTCCAAGCCCTGGGTCCAGAAGCACATCAGGCAAAAACTCAAAGTACCCAGTGGCTGATTGTTATTTGGTCTCTTAATGAGCCGCAGGCTGTAGAAACTCCACAGGGTGGGGTAAGAGGTTTTCAGTGAGTTGGGCAATTGCTCCCCTCCCCAGGCAAAAGCTGCTTGGGTGGTAAATGTCTGCCTGAGAAAGATATTCTCTGCCATATGGGGGAATGACTCAGCACAGGGATCCAGATGGCTGCCCTCTGAGGTCTTTCCCCAAATACAGCTCCCCTGGATTCTCTCACACTGCTCTAGTCCACTCTGTCCTCCCTCCACCAGAGCCCAAGGTGAACGGCTGCACACAAAACTTTGTGCTTTGACCCTTTAAGAGGGTGCCTGCATTTCCAGCCGTCTCTCCCTGGCACACAGAAACCCTGATGCTTTTCACAGCCAGATGTTCTGTGGGCACCTTTCTCAGTTCTGTTGCTCTGGGCTGGGGAGCCCAGCCTGGGGTTTAGGCCTCAGAGTCCTCAGTGGGAACCCCCACAGCTGAGCTATACCCCCAGACCTTCAGCTGCTGCCTGTGGGAGCCCAGCCAGCCCTCTCGCACCTCCACACTCCTTATCAGTCTCTATGCAGTCTCCGCTGTAGGTCCTGGGTTATGAGGGTGCTCTCCAGCTAGTCTTCAGTTGATTATTCAGGATGGTTTTTCTATATTTTAGTTGTAATTCCAGTTTGGTCCTGGGAGAGTGTCAGTGTAGCTTCCACTCAGTCCACTATCTTGGAATCTCTCCCTCATCTTTTGTTTATTTTGCCAGATATAGGATTCTTGGCTGTTTTTTAATATTTTAATTAAAAAAAAATTTTTTTAGCACTTTGAATATACAAGCCCACTGTCTTCTGGTCTTCAGTGTTTCTTATGAGAAATTTGCTTATAATGTTATGGAGGGACCCTTGAATGTGATGAGTCCTTCTGTCTTGCTGCTTTCAAGATTCTTTCTTTGTCTTTCAAAGTTTGATTATGATGTGTCTTGGTCTAAGTCTTTTTGAGTTTATTTTACTTGTAGTTCATTGAGCTTCTTGGACTTTTATATTTAAGTATTTCATCAAATTTGGGAAGTTCTCAGCCATTATTTCTTCAAGTTGTCTCTCCGCCCCTTTCTCTCTCAAGGTCTTTTCTGAGCCTTTCCCTCTATATGTGTAGTCACTTTCTGATTTTCCCTATCTATGCAATTGTTTTTGAAAATCTTCGTTTGTAATACATGGCTCTCAAAATGGTTAAAAGAAAAACAATGGTGGAGCTGGGTGGAAGGGTATGAACCCTTTAGACTCAAAGGGGAATCCCTTCAGCTACAGAGAAAGGGGCTTGCAACAGTGGGGAGGTACAGTGACCATGGCTTCCTGCCTCTTTGTCTGCACCTCTGTGATCAGAAGCAGCAATCGGCAGTCAGCACAGATCCCTGTGGCTTTGCCCACGATCACCCCCCAACCTGTGTGCAGGCTGCTCCCGGAACGCAACATGGAAACCTGCCTGCCGCGTTGCTGAGGGTGGGGGATGGGTAGTTGCCACTGTGGTAAGAGCAGGAAAGGACTGAAATGAACCCTAATTTACCATCTGAGTCTTCCTCCTGAATGTTGCAAGCCTTCAATAGACTCCAGGGTTCCAAAATAGTTACATCAGACAGGTTCTGCCAGTGCACCTATTGTCTAGGTGGGGAGACAGTCATTCCCGGTGCTTCTACTCTGCCATCTTCCCGGAGCCTCTCCCTGTTTCTTGTCATATTACTGTGGTTTTCCACAGTTCCTGGTACTGTGCTATTTTGTGGGAATGCTAAATAAGTAGAAGATGTACTGATGACTACCGTGAAGCCTGTTTTAGCTGGAGAGACAAACAAGAAGCAAATATTGACCCGTGCTAAGCGGTCAATAATGCGTAACAAAGTACAAGAGTTCCAACAGGAATGGTCCGAATATGACACTCTTATCCTTGCCTGTCCCTTTGGGACCCATGACAAACAAAACACCTAATGACTGTCAGTTCTGTGCCCAGTCTTGAGCTCAGGATTCATCACAGGGCTTCAGGCAGTCTTTAAATTTTTATAAGAGTTGGCACCTGAGTTGAGTTTGCCATCCCTGGTTTACAGTAAACATGAGAAGTACCGTAAGAACTTGAAGAACGTAATATTGTTTCCTGGAGTAAATCGTGTTTTTCAAGGAAAAAGACAGTATGTTCTATTTCTTTAATAGTTCCCCCACCATTACAATCAGAGGCTCGATTAGGGCTTGTGAATTAACTTCATAATTTTAAGAGATCTTATCGTAAGGAAATAAATCAATTTAATACGTGTTAACACATTGTTTATATCACTTCTGAAAGTGCTAAAGGCGTAGCTTTTTTCTTTGAAAGAGTTTATATTCCAGCATCTGACAGCTTTTCGTACCCTTGCCATGTAAGCGTATTTTCTGTTTTTAAGGAAGATGGAAAACAGCTGGTCAGCATCCTCAGCTAATACTTGTTAAATGCCTTCTTAAAAGATACAGGCGGAGTTCGCTTTGTTGCGTTTCACAGATGTTGCATTTTTTTTGCAAATTGAAGGCCAGACCCTCCACCAGCAAAAGGTAAAGACTCGCTACATTGCGGTGGTCTGGGACCAACCCTGCGGTTTCTCTGGGGTATGTCTGTAGTCTTTAGCTTGAGGACATTATGCTAGTGAAATAAGCCAGTCACAAAAGGACAAATACTATATGATTCCACTTATGTGAGGTACCTAGAGTAGTAAAAACTCATAGGACAGAAATTAGATCGGTGGTTGCCAGGGCCTGGGGGGAAGGGGAACGGGAAGTTGTTATTTAATGGATACAGAGTTTAATTCTGCAAGATGAAAAGAGCTCTGTGGATGGATGCCAGCGATGGTAGCACAACAGTATGAATGCACTTAGTGCTACTGAAGTATAAGCTTAAAAACAGTTGAGAAGGTTACAAAATTCCTTGCATGCACAGAGGCCTGTCTTTACCCTGTGAGGACATCAGAGAAACCATTACCCGGTAGGATCTACAGGATTCTTTGCTCTACTTCCATTTGTTTCTCATCTTTGTTTGAGGCCCCTCTTTCCATTCTTCCAGGAACTTTCATTCTCTTCTCTGGACCATCTTCAAGTCTTGCACAAACCAGATGTAGTTTTGGAAAGATTGCTATAGTTTTGCAAAGCCAGGGGAATGGGGAGGCTGTGTCACAGGTCCTGGGGTTTGGGGCAGTGTTAGGGCTGCTGTGTTTGCTTCACAACAGCACTGCGTTGCCTGTGGTTTGTACTCACCCAAAGACATGACTTCTGTTCATCTATAGAGTTGAGGTGGACAAACTAGATGAGCTCTAATGGAATTACAGCTCAGCATTACCTTTGGACTTTTTCATCTTAAATTTATGTATTAACATTGCTATCATTTGGGGGTTTATGTAATGAAATACCCTACATTGGTGTTTTAAAATTATGGATTCAGTACAAGTTGAAAGCACCAAAGTTATCAACTTGTTTTTCCATTTTCCCCATCTCTTTTCTGTACTGAACTTCACTCTGTTGGAATGATTTTTAAAAAATAAATCCCCTCACTTTCTGATTAAGGACTGTGATTTCTAAACAGGGCACGTGAATATAATCGAGCATTATGTCTGAATTAGTGTGTGCTTCCCCCTCCCCCAGCTTCCCCAACACTGAGCTGAAAGTCCTTAATTTCCTAGTTTGTAGCTTACAATGAAATGCTACGGGTTGCCGGCATTACTGGGAATGCCTCGCCAGTAAAGGAGTTCAGCTTGGCTTATTTTAATCTCTTTTCCTTGCCCTTATCTAGCAGAAGAGCCTTTGGGTGAAGACCTGGAAACTTGGAAAGGATTTCTTGCTCTGTTACAGTAAGTAAGTGACTATTTTCCAGTTACCTCAAGGAAAAAATCATATAGGTGCAATATGCTCCTAAGCGCTTTCTCACTTGATTTGATAATATGTTGGTTTGGCTCAGTATTTGCTTTGACCCATCAGCTGTTTCAGTGAGGCAGAGGAGGCTGGAGAGGTATTTAGTAGAAGAGTAAAAGATTAAGATTTATCCACCGCCCCCCCAAAAAAATTTAATCTACCAAGAAACCCGACCCAAACTTTCTAGTCCTCCTAAGAAACAATGAATGTGAAATTGATGCTCTGCTAGTCAGATGCTGCGTGTGTGAGGCTCACTTCTGTAACCACCATCCAGAAGGCTTCCTCCTGCTTTCTCGCACCCGGTGACCCCCAAAGGTTCCTGCTGGCGTGATGTGGTGTTGTGGCTGTCCAGTCTGTGGACTGAGCCTGTAACAAATGTGGCTTCAATTCTGGTAGAGCAGTTACTTAAGCAGGACTTAAGTGACTTGGGGTCTGTGGAAGTCGACTGGTCAGAAGTGCTGAAAGGCGACACCAGTGGACTGCCGAAGAAGTCAGAGGTGGCGTCTGTGGCGGGTCCCAGTTTTGCCCTGCACTGGAAGAGGTTAGATGCTACCACTGATTTATCAAGGTTGACGTTGGTCTGGAGCTTGGTGTCATGTAGGCGCCATGCTGTCTGCTGGCCTTTCACGGGGGACTCTGGCCTCCCTGATTTGGCCTCGTAGTTTTTGGATGACCATGTGTTTTGGACAGCATTGCCTGTGTAGCAGGGTCCTGACACTGTTTAGCTCTGTGTTACCAGAAAGCTGCTGGCCGAGGCCTTACGTGAGCTGGGTGCTGTGTGACCATGGCCGGCCTTAGGCTTCAGTCCCTGTTACCAACCTGCTGCGCACCAAACGGGTCTGGATCAGTTGTTTATATTTTAGTCTGTGTCCAGTCAACAGAACAGGCAGGTTTAGAGTGTTGACAGTCTCAGTAGGTGAAGGAGAAAGCTGTTTCCCTGGTGTCTGCAAATGTGCAAACTTGTACTCCCACGGGAGACGGCATAACATTTATTAAGGAAAAATGTGATGTCACAGTGCTATTGTAGTGATGAAGTTAGGGCGCTCTCCCGTTCGCCCCGGCAGTCAGATAATGCTGTGGGACATCTTATGCTGGCGAGTGAATCACAGAAGCTGGTCCCAAGCCCCCGACACAGTGATAACGTGCTCTCAAGTGTGTGCGAGCAGATGTGTGAGCAGATATGTGAACAAATGGGCAAACTTAATTAGTGGCTCTCAAAGTCTAGTTCTGCAAACTTAGAATTTCCCATAACGCCTTGATATTGTTCCTTGCCCCCTTCCTCTAGCTGTTTTGCAGCAACGGTCCTTTCCCTCCGACTATTTTGTAGTCTGAAGCCACAGGACGGTTCTCAACCTCTGACGCTGAGAATCTAATCCAGGAGGCTTTTTCCTGGGATTTTAGAGAGGAGAGGAGCACGACTTCTGTGCCTTCTGAGAATTTAACTGGCATACAATGAGGACTATGCTTCTCAACACTGCAGAAAATAGCAGCGGAGGCCTGGGGACTGAGAGTAGGATTCTGCAAGCTCACGTGGAAGCCATCAGCTCAAAAGCCAGGACACATGTGAGTCGCTGCTAGATTCTGCTCCACTTACTGACGTATCAAGGAAAACGTTTTCAGAAGTTCGCTGTAGATTTTGGGAGCTGTGGGGAGAAGGGTCTCTCAGTGGGAAAGGGCACAGCCACTGAGAGGTGTCAGGAAAGTAATACATTCAGAAGAGCAGTCCCCCGGGGGCAGCCAGGACACCAGCGGCCCTGATGGAAGAAGTAGGGACCAAAACAAATACGGCAGGACAGGCAAGAGTCAGAAACGTGCTTTCCTTCCCCAGCCAAGTGACTGCAGGTGGAAAGGACTCAGGAAGAAAATGATGATCCTGAACGCTAGAGAGGAAGGGAGAGGTGGATGGTTTCGTTACGACGTAAATAGCCTGCTAAACACCGTGCAGGTATAAAATCCTCATAGAAGGCATATCTGCTTTAGACTGAAAGACAACCGGTTTTCTTCTTTTTTAGTTTCGTTAAATGTGATCACAAAGGGTTAACATAGGTTTGATAGAGTGAGGCGGATTGCAGTTTGTTTGTGTTCAGTTACTTCCTCTATTAGGGTAAACAAAACCCTTTATTATGTGTACTACTAAGGATCTTCAAAGAAAGAAAAAAATCAAGGGAAGCAGTGGCAAGCCCGGGGTGACATGAAAATAATCGGGGGTGTGTGTGGGGGTGTATCTGAAAAGGCTCTCGCCCCAGCAGGCACATCCTGGGTTCCGTTACTGGGGTGTCCCTCCCCCTCCCCGTTTCCCGGTTTGAAGCGACTGGGCGGACTGCCTACACCTGGAAGCTGATAAGACACACTCGTTGCACTCTCATAGTTTTCCAAGGAAAACAGCAAAGAATGCACTTGTGTTGAGGTACGGGAGCTGCCGACTGGCAGGGCCTCTAGAGAATCAACATGCCCACATTGCTGCCCCCTCTCACGTTGCCGAGGCGATTCTCAGCTCAGAACGAATAAAACTGATGTGTTTTTGTAAATCAACAAGTACAGACCCCCGGCTCATTCTTTAAACGCGGATGTGCCAATTTAAAAACATTCTCCTCTGCTCAGAAAATTACTGACGGTGTTTGTGGGAAGGGCCCTGTGCAGACAGCGGAAGCAGGTAGAGGAACCTCGCGCACGTTTGTTCACACTCGTGGTAATTCCACCAGGACTTGCTGAGCTCCGCTGTGAGCCAGGATCTGGGGCTGGTGCTGGGTCAGAGCGACAAGCCAGCCTCTTCCCTCTGAGAAGCTTCCACGTTTAAGGGAAGAACTTGGTTATTTTTGAGGTGGTATTGCGTAGAAAAAAATTAAACAGTGAAAATGTGAATTTAAAAACGTTTGGGGGCCTTATACAGTATAACTAACTTCTGAAACACTTGCCTTTCATCCTCTCGTTGGGGAAGAACAGTAAATATCACAATTACTATTCTGGGTGGCGGTAATGGCAGAGGCCCATGATTATAGCTGGAGGATCTTTTTCAGATACAGTGTATCTGCCTCGCAAAGGACACACATGGGGCTCATTCTTACTTGAAGGAAGCTTAGTTGTGGTCCTCTCTTAGAGCTGCTTGTTTTTGTATTTTTGGACCAAGGGGCATACATTTATAGAAGTTTCTTTAGTTTCAAGCAGATTTACTTTCACAAAAGCATATGCTTCAAGGTCCCCTCCTGCTAGGTTGTGTCCTATGATTCTGCATAAGAGTAACCTGACTCAGGGCAGCATCGATTCTGTGACCATTTCCTCAAGCTAATCTGCAACCTCTCCTCTGAGACAGGGGGCAAGGCACAAGCGGACTTAACCAGGTTCCTGTGCAGTATGCTTGTGTAAAACCACTGTTCTCTTGGAGCTCTTTCCTTCTCTTTTCCTTCCTTCCTTCCTTCCTTCCTTCCTTCCTTCCTTCCTTCCTTCCTTCCTTCCTTCCTTCCTTTTTCTTTCTCTCTCTCTCTCTCTCTCTCCCCTCTCCTCCTCCCCTCTTTGGTATGCCCTTTTACTGGGAGTAACAGCCTTGAGAACATTAGTTCTAGGTGTGTTTTATCTGGCAGTTTACCTTTTCTCTCATCTTTTCTTTCCCCTTGCCTGCTGAGAATCATTTACTTGGTCATCTTGCCTATAAAGACATTCTCAACCTCCCAGTCCCGCCTGCCCATGTCCCCTCGGTAAGGGAGAGCCCTGGTTTGAGGAAACCCCGAGCGAGTGGTAAGTGAGCAGGCTGGTCCTCCTTGAGAGCCGGGGCCCATGCGCCTTGAGCCCCTTGTAGGTGCAGCGCTGTCCTGTCCCAGCACCTGGCGGAGCTCATTTTTATGTCCCCAGCAAGCGTGCATAATCTTAGGCAAACAAACAGTCCTGCCAGAAGGGCATCCAACCGCTCCCCAAGACAGAGCAACAATTCTTGGCTCCTGGATCAGTAAAATTATCTATTTTCAAAATAATCCTTTTTTTTTTTTTTTAAAAAAAAGAAACCAACAAAGGGGATAGTGTTGTTTATGTAACTTTTTTTGTAAGGTTATAAAAAGTTTTTTCTCCCTGGGTACAAAATGGGTATGTACGTGTTCCTCAGCCTAGAGAGGTTGTTTGGGAAAGCAGTGATGTCCCTGGGGATTTTTCTTTGCTAATGACTTCAGCCTTTCTCCCTTTGGGCGGAAAAAAAAAAAATTAACATTCTGCTCTGAATGCTCTTGGGAGCCGGGTAAGCTGGATCATCTCTCTTGCCCCTGAGAGCTGTTCTCAGACCCCATGAGTTGGATGGGCAGGGATGGTCTGCTGAGGTATCACCAAGTCCCTCTATTGAAGGTGGGACGCAGTGTGGCGACCGGTGCCCAGAGCTCCTGTCTTCTCTGGATGCCCCCATGACTCCTTTAACCTGGCCGAACACATTTCTCTTCCAGGTTTTCCTTCTCTTTACTGCTTCCTGGCCACCAGCTTGCGCTAATAGCCTGTTAGTTGAAATCGGCATTACCGAAGCCCACCTGCAAAGAGGGCAGGATGCAATATGTGCCGGGAGAGGGAGGGACGTCATGACAGACTTCGAGAGGCCTGGAAAAATTTAAAATCCACAGATCACAGGTTCAGAAACCTTATGCGCTCAGAAGGCTGCTGTAGAGGGAAAAGCAAAGATGAAAGAGAGCAAAGGGCACGCTGCCATCTCAAACAAGGAAGGCAGAATAAATGCTGTGAGGGGATCTTTGCAGAGGGAAGCGTCCAGATGCAGAGATGAATCGAAGGCAGGCTTCAGCTCCAGGGGAAACGGAGTGAGCTCCCGCCCAGCACAAGCACCAGCGGCAGAGCCTGGGATGTGAGATGTGGGAGGCAGCGGGGCCTGGCCTCCGCACCAGGGGCTCGTGGGCGTCCGCCGGGCACCACCTGCACGGTGCTCGGCTGGAACCCGCCCCTCTCCCCCCGCGCCTCATGCTGCGGCCTGGGGCAGTCAGCGGGGACGGGAATGGGACCACGGCCACTCTTTCAGGTTCAGGTCAGCTGTATCTGGTAGCTGCAGCTCACTCGCTTGTTTGTTTTGCAGGGAGTAATTTAGGATCTTTAATCTAATTGTTGACTCTGCTAGTTATCAGTAAGAAGCATTTCACAACAACTTTTAACTACAGGCCACGTTCCCATCTCAGCCCCGGGCTTAGGCCGGACCTGGTCTCTGCCCCTTTGGGACCTAAGGGTGTTTTATTTCTGTGTTTCTTGGCTTAGGGAGAAGTTTCAGACGTGTCTTAACTTGACTCATTTGTTCAGAGAGAAGCTTCAGGACACAGTGAGGAACAAGGATATTGGGCCATAGTTCGTCTGTTGGTTCAGAATTTCTGATAAACATAAAAAATGGTGTTACTTTTGATTATATGAGCAGAGTTTTAAATTTTATTTTTTATTATTTTTTTCACTTGAAGTAAGTGTTGTATTTTATTTTAGGAATTTCTGGATTCTAAGAAACAGAATCAGTCTATAATTGAGGATAAAGTGGCTGATGGTAATTTCTCCCAACATTTAGAGCAGGCCAGGGTGTGATTTTGTGCTTTTTCCACAACTGCGTGTAGAACTTATAGAAGGAAAATAACACAGGCTTTCAAATGAGGCTAGAATATCTTCTCTGCTACCAAAAATGAAAAACAGTCATAAAAAATAGAAATATATTAATGAAATAATGAATCCAACATATTGGAATATATTACTTGATATATACAGGTGGGATACTTATTTATTTATTATTTTGTTCAAAATATTACAGATGTCCCTTTTTCTCCCCAATGACCCATTCCACCCCCCTCCCCACTCCCCAGTCCGTCTCCACACTGTTGTTTGTGTCCTTGGGTTATGCATATATGCTTATAGATTCTCAGGTTAATCTCTCCCCCTCCACCCTCCCACCCCCGCCTTCCCTCTGAGATTCATCAGTCTGATCCATGCTTCTATGTCACTGAATCTATTTTGTTCATCAGTTTATTTTGTTCTTTAGATTCCACATATAAGTGAGATCATGTGATGTTTGTCTGTCTCTGCCTGGCTTATTTCACTCAGCATAAGATTCTCCAGGTCCATCCATGCTGTCCCAGAGGGTACGAGAGCCGCCTTCTTTCCAGCTGCATAGTATTCCACAGTGTAAATGTACCACAGCCTTTTTATCCACTCATCTGAATTTTATTTTATTTCATTTTATTTCTGAAGTTCACATTTCTCTTTTTTACTTTGGAGACCAATTCTCATCCACCAAGCATTTAGTGTCTACTAAATGCTACTGTAGAGTGGAGTGCAGGGAGGGCCTGGTTTGTGTTGCCATGAAGAGGGCTTTGAGGAGTGAGTAGGAGCTCCTTAGGTGGAGCTGGGGAAGGAGGACATTTCCAGCTCACCAGAGACCCAAAGCTATGCAAATGCAGGATTTGAGAGGGGCAGCGACAGTTCCTGAGTGAGTAGAGCAGTCAGGTGGTGGGACAGAGGAGGCCTGGAAGTTAGGAAGACAGAGCAGGGTAAGGCTTTGTATGCAAGTAGAAAGTTCAGATTTCATGCTATAAGCACTGGGCATTCATCTACAATTCTTAATCAGAGTCCTGATATGGGGGGTGTAGTGGACATTATAAAATCTTGGGTACCCAGAAAGGAATGATGCTGGAGAGATGGTGGGGAACCCGCGTCCTGTGTTAGTGGAACCCCAACCTTATGATGCAGAGTCTGCTCTGCTGTAGAGGCTGAAATGTATACACTCTCTCGCCCGGTTTCGCTTAAGTAATGGGAACGTGACCTAGGCCCTGCCAATCAGACCTTAAATAGTGACATGAAGAAGCTGGGACATCAAGCAAAATCCATTTCTGGAGGTGGAGCCATCAGTTCCTAGAGGCAGCAGGGAAGCACCTGAGGGGTAGGGCCAGGTGTCCACTGGTTCAGGGTGGTGGTCGAAGCTGTGGTGCCTCCGCTCATCAGCGCACGGACCGTCCTCAGCATGATTTCAGGCATTGCTGCTGGCCGCATAGCCTCCAAGCCTGGCTGGCCAACTCTCAGAGATTCTGTGCCCCGCACAATT